TCAGTCAAGTGCATAACTCTTGGAGATGATCTTCACAGCAAAATGAAGACACATTTTTCGATGGTTTTAATATCAGTGACTAGTACATAGAGGCAGATTCAGATAATGATTGGACCAGCTGTGAGATTCAACCAGGCCATCATCGCTAAATATATAGCTTGAAATCCAGAGTGATAAAGCGCTCGGTTGGTTTAGTGAAACTGAAAGAGAAATCATTTTGACAGAGTCTAGATCTTGATTTGGCTGCTAAACAGCTGTTCTCAAGGTCACTGAACCTGTACAATGTACGTTTTTTATGGAAGTGTTGGAAAGTACTGTCGAGATTGGGTTAATGAATTTAGTCTGCGGTGTAGTATGAAGATTAACATAAATATCTGTATTCTCCTGAGTGAATTAAATATCCAATTGTATCAACCTCCATAGTCCCAGCATGACATGCCAAGGCACTTCTTTCCTCTGAGGAATTATTTAATGACTTAGAGCTTTTGACTCATCTGGGCAATTTCCACTCAGCTGAGCTAATTCCATTATCCGTTAGTCATGTTTAGAGGCAGCTGACAGCTAGTAACTCATGTGCTACTCTACAACCGTGTGTAATCTTGCTCTTCTTTCGACTGGGAACTACCCACACACAGCGCAATTATCACAGACGATGTGCACCCGTCAGTCAGAGAGCAGCCCATTCTATCAGCAGTGTTGTTGTCCAGGCTTGCGGCTTGCTAATGTGCTGCTGGATTATAAACTGTTGGAATATATGCAGTAGTAAAGCTATGAAATCCTAGTTCAATGGAAAAAGGGTAAGTTAAATCTTGTATAAAAATGTCTTTCATGGCGGAAATGGTTTGTTCATGTGCATGAATTAAATGTATGTATTTCATCACTTCCATCTACGAGTGGCTCAATGCATACATCACATTTTCCTTCAGCGTGGAGTATGGTAAATGTGCTCAGTTTCCTGTCAGCACCACTATCCTGCCTCTGCTTTATGTGTATATTAAGTTTTTTTTATGAACTTCTCTCTCCCTAAGAAAAGTAAGAATGATCTGAGTTATGCCTGAAAGTCAAATTCTGGTGAATAATTTAGTTTTTCTCATCTTTGATCCAAATTAAACCATATATTTTAACTGTGATGCCTGTTCCTCCCCATAATATATAGTTGTACTGGTTTCTTGAAGTGTTTCTGGCAGAGCAAAAGAAAACAATTTTGTTTTCATTGGGCTTTTATACTGGGGTAGTTAATAGGAATACCACAATTATCTATTGTGGTATTGCTATTGTCTATTGCGCATTTATATTCTTTAACAAGCGATTTTTAAAAAAATATATTTAGTTTTGTGATTTATTTAGTAATAATGACTCAGAATCACTCAAGGACTCCTGACAGTAACAGGCAGTATGTTGATGCTAATTTATGTGAACCCCACGATTTACTTCTGGCCCTCCAAAGTGGGGACTATGTGAGTCAACCGTGATGTCCTGCCAGTTAGAAGCTGGATTCTTCATCAATGACTGTGAGTCTGTTACTCAGTTTCTGTCGAGTGACCCTGAGTTTCTGTACCTCACTCGTTCCAAAGTAACTGTGAGTCTCCTGTATAACTCTGTTAATCACTTTTACTGAGTGCCAAATGCTGTTTAATTTGACTCCCAATACAATGGTATCAGAGGAAAATCAACAGGGGAAAAAAGAAGAGGAGCTAACCGCATAATAAAGTATTATACCCCTACATAACTTGTACAAAACAAATCTGTAGTAATGAAACTATGCATTTTCAACTCAGGGAGAAGGTAAAATAATGGAAATATAGTATCACACAGGTCCATTCAAGATTGTAAGACAGGCTCATTAAATTTGTTATAAAGAGAGGAGATTGGTTGAATAGAAATGTAGCTCTGCTGATTGACATTATCAAATAAAATAATATCCTGCTCATGTGTGCTGCTAGTGCTGATAATAGAGGCACAGTCACATATAACAAGTACAAAGTGATTCTCTTCCCCTTTTCTATTCTCCAATCTCCTTGTACTCATCGGTCTCTGTCTGGGAAAGGTCTCATCCACCTGCAAGTGCAATGATGCGGGTCTGAAGGGTGCTCTGCAGTCATTTAGCATTCTCTACAGCCTTTCTAAAGAGTGTCTCTTTCCCCATAATGTTTCTTACAGTTTCTGTAAATGGAGAATCATGGTGTTGAAGGCTCTCCTGTTAATGAGTTGGAGGTTCTATTTGACTATATCAAGCAAAACAGGATGAATATCATTATATTCCTTGCATTTGATTTAGCGCATTTCATATCAAGAATGTGTATCAAAGCACTAAGTAGAAAGTGTAATGAGGGTATATTTTGTAGCAGAACATATTCTCTGTAAGGTAGTCAATTCTTTCAATATCTTCATATATTTTGTTTGAATCTAAGCCTACGTTTTGGATCATTAAACTTTGCCAGCTTTGTGATGATAACTATTGATTGATTCAGTTTATGAGTATTTTCCAATTTTACTGAAAGTTGCTTTATACGGAGTCCTGTAGCTCAGTGGTTAGAGCACTCGCCTTGCAAGCGAGACACCTGGGTTCAATTCCAGGCAGGGCGAAACCTTGGGCAAGTTTCCTTACTCCACAAGCCTAATAATAATCCCTTCAAAAAAAACAATAATAAATTGGTCATTTTCAATCCATGACTGTTTGTGGGACACTGCTGTGTGCAATTGGCTGCCGAGTTTCGCCCACAAATATACGGTCAATTCACTTTACAGCATATTCTGTGAAGCATTTGAGACGTCGAGAAGACATAAAAAACGTTATATCAAATGGAAGGATTATTATTTATTTATATGCCTGAGATGAGTTTGTCCTGTTTTACAGTGGCAAGGGTGATGAGCCCCCCCCCTGTAAATGGTCTGGTTTAAATCAGGCATGTTCACTTATGATAATCTCTTGTAACATCACATCAAGATCCTAAATAGGTCATATTTCACCTTTACGTTATGGCACGGTTAGTAGATTTCACAGTTTGTAACTAGAAGTCCTTAATATGATGGACGAGTTGTAGAGAGGTCCCCAGCCTCTCCTACATTTTCATGTGGTGCCTTCAAATCCAGTAAATCTGGGCTCAGTTGTTACAGAAAATTAAAATCCATAACAGGGATTGCAATAGATCTTACATTGTATCTTAAAACCAGCAGCAGCGATTCCAAAAGACTTTGTCTAGTTCATTTATTAAACTTGTAAACTTGGCATATCTTAAAACGTACTTCTTTCAATTAATTTACCTCTCCCCAGCCCCTCCTCGGCTCGCATCCCCGGGTCGGCTGCCCATCCAGCACTGAGAAGTGTTTTGAGATGTCCTACTGACATGAGAGGAGCTATATAAATGTAAATTGTGTTGTATTGTGCTTTTCTCTAAACATTGAAGAACACCTGTAACATTGATGAAGAATAGTCAATTTTACACTTTGCAGATAATGTCTGCTTTGCTGAAGAACAAGCACTTTGTATGATTCTGCAATGAAATGACAGTCAAACCTGTTAAGGCAACCACCTCTATTCAGCAACCACTTGTCTATCACAACCAGTGGCCATTCATTTTGTAGTCCTGTTGGTTATTTGTAAGAGAATTTAAGTGTATTTACCAAGAATGAATTACCAATTTCCATAGACTCCTTTAGACTCCTAGCACATAGCTTCCCTCCTCACCAGTGGTAAATGCACTAGGAGTCTAACTGGAGCTTAGCTCCCGGGACCATGGAAATATTTGACCAGTGAAAATGTTTTTAAAAAAATTCGGACCTGGCTAACAAACCAACAAACCCTTATGCAGAGGCCACTCTTATATAAATACACTTTGATCCAGTCCCCTGAGTGGTTGCTGAAAACAGGTTTGACTGCAGTTGGATTATTCGTGGGGTTTCCTGTAATACGCATTACAATGAACACATTATGAAAAAAATCCAAATTTCACCGCTGTCTCATTTGGACAAACTGTACTTATAAGCCGCAAGTAATTGTTTATTTTCCTGTTACATACACGAGGGAGAAGGGAATAAAGGAGTACGGGAAAGGGGTTGGGATAAGGAATTAGGAGGGGTGGAGGCGCCTGTGGAGGTTAAACATTAGCACAGGTCAGGTGGGATGAATGGTGATCCTTTTGTCAGGGGGACAACTGTCAGATATCTAATGAAATTTAGTTTACCATTTGAAGTTCGCTGCAGTGCTTTAAATGTGTTTGTTTTCAAAAGCAGAAGTGGTTTGCTATCTTGGATCAATATTATTTGTGAAAATATAAATTCCTGATAAGAATACATTTTATTTTATAAAATCAGAATTGATTCTTAGACAAATGGACCGCAGTGAATGTATGAGATGTACATTACCAGACAGAATAGGTCACAGGGCAATTGCAGTGCTGACTCCTTTAACATTAGTATCAGGACCAAAATTATATGTCTGATCTTGGGGCATTCAACCTTAGCTAGACTGCTGAATTAAATATCCAATCTGGAGCAGTTTTGTACTGTAGATTCAACCACTATGAGCTTTATTGAAACTGACAGAACAGAAAGACAGACAAACAGACAGATTAATTGCTTGTGTCTTCTGAGAGCTGAATCTCCGGAAGTGGTAGAAACAAGTGCTTCTGAATGATCTTGTATATTGTGCTACCTTATTCTCGTGTGAGGCACTGAACACACATCTTTAAATAAGATGAACTGACCTTAGCATATTAGCTACTTCTAGACAAGTTTTTTTTAAAATATATAATTAGAACTAAATCCAGAGTGAAAATCTATTTTAATTCTGTGCATACTTCTTAACAGAATCAGAAGTGGGAATTTGATGTATCGAATGGCACTCAGCATCAGTGCTCCTACACAGAAGATTGTTTACATCTGAACTGTGAAGACGGAAAACTTACAGAGACCTGACTGCCTACTTGAATGCCAAGTCATCTTTATAGCCAGCAAATCTATTTTTATATATATGCTGAGCTGTACTCTGTCACATACAAATGCTGATTGTGAATTGCTTGTCGCTGCTTCTTTGGATCCTGTTTGATGAGGGTCTTTTAACACCTCTGCAATCGCTGTCACCAAGGACTTCAGGACGCATAGACAGTGACCAAATAATTGATCTGTCAGGAGATGGAGCTCCTATGCTCCAACGTGTTAGACGTGGCTGGATCTGGAACCAGTTCTTTGTGCTGGAAGAATATATGGGGTCAGAACCCCAATATGTGGGAAAGGTAAAATATTTTACTTTATTTTTCAATCAAATGCATATTACTTACTACTTATGAGCTATTACTTATTTTGTATGATCAATAGTACTTGCTTGGCATACTTCTTTAAAGTTCTAATAATATTTATTTTATACAATCACAGTTCATTTCACAGTTGTTTTATTTCTTGCATTTTGCACACAGACAATGAAATGCAATGTAGTGAATGATCACAAAATATTTTCTCATGCACTCTGTTGTCAAAATATTAAGTAAGTGTTTCATTTGGATGTAATGGGATTTAAAATGCAGGTCAGGCCAATAGCACATAGGGTAACATGCTCTAATATACAGGTGCTCTCAGTTATGCAATAAAATGATTACAGAATCACCAGAAATTATTTTCATTGGTGGTTGATTATATAATTGAGTGTTAAGTGTGTGTTTGAACAAGGTTAGCCCACAGACAAATAACCCAACACACGTTTTAGACCCCACTATTATTTCTAAATTATGTATTTATCATTTTAATACTCCCTCTACATCACTTATTTCAATATTTTATCTGTTGTAGTTCTATTCCTTGAACCATGTCTTTGTCCCACCATTCATTTAGAAACTGTCAGCAAGTGCCACAATACATTATCGTCAATGACAAAGCAGAAAGAGCAAGTTTTAAATGCAACCTTTTCTTATCTTTCTTTTTTATCTGTTGTTTAACATTTAGAAAAAAAAAGTGGAGTAAATATTTAACCTGAATCAGAATTCTTCTAGGGACCCTGAAGCACGTTTTGCAAATTTTCATGTCTTCGGTAACAGCTGTGTCACATTTGTCGGGTATCGTTTTGGAAAAAGGATGCCATGCCTGTTCTTGTAGGGAAAGCTTATCTTTGCTTCAGCTCACATATCTACAGTATGTAGTTATAATAAGAAGATGCATAATAATAATCATTGAAGCACTTCATAGAGTGTACTGTAAAGTGAATTGACTATTTAAATGTTTGAATTTAATATTTTCTGGGCGAAGTGGAGCAGCCAATTGTGAACAGCAGTGTCCCACAAACAGTCGTGGATTGAGTGACCAAATTATTTTTTGGACAAGTTTAGTTGGCAAGTTGAACTGGAACAATACTACCAAACATACCAAATTGCGTTTAGATTTGTTTAGGCATTGAAATTCTTCTTTTTGTCTCTGTACCAGCAATTCACTGAACTGAGTCCCTCCCTTTCCCTCCACCTACGGTTTGTTTGTAACCATCACTGTGATATCTTAGTACCTCCACTCGCCCTCATCACAACATTAACACAGGTACCTTTTTTAGTTTTAAGATAACAATTCCAACGATCACAAATCTAGCGTACCATTTAAGAGGGGAGAAAATAGGTTATGTGATGTGATACATCACAGGATGAGTGTGTCAGCCTGATGTAGCTTGTAGCGCTAATGCCTCTGAGTCAGAAGGTTGTGGGTTCAAGGCCAACATTGTGACTTTGAACTCATATAATCTAGGCTGATACTCCAACACAGTACAGGTGGTTGCTGCTTGTTGGAGGTGCCATCCTCAGATAACATCTTAAACCATCCCATCTGCATGGAGAATGTCAACTCAATGTGGATTAGATGAAAACTTTCCCCTTCAGTTTCAGCCTTTGTTGCCTCACTTTCCACTCTGACATTCCTCAGCCTTCCTGGACTCTCTCAAATATCCTGACTGGTGCGCAACTTTGGCATCCAATCTGATCCCCAGCTTCTTTACTCCCTCACATCTGGCCCCTTACCAAGCCTGTCTTCCTTCATCTCCACCACATCGCCCACCTCCATTTCTATCTCACACCCAATAGCGTTGAAATACCTATTCACATCTTCATCATATTCCACTTAGACTTTTTCAATGCATTCCTCGCTGATCTACCGAGCTCCACTGTTCACCAGTGGCAACCCATTCAAAACTCCACTATCCGAATTCGCACCCGCATCAAACTTTGCACACTTATCAAACCAGTTCTCATCTATCTCTAATTAATCCCTGTCCCATAGCAGATTGAATTCAAGGTCTTCACCCTCACCTATAAATCCAGGTGAAAACTCCCTTCAACTCCCTGACCCAATTATCTCTCTAACCTTCCCGCAAACTTACTCCTCCACTCTCCCCTCCGCTCAGCTAGTTCGGGCTTGTTGTGCACTCCTTCCCTTTCCATGCCAGCATAGGTGGGTGAGCCTTCAATTACTACACCCCTAATCTCTAGAACTCCCTCTACCACCCAGTCTCACCCTCACTCTCTCATTTTATCTTTTTACCCTTCTTAAATCCTACCTCTTTGAATAGACTTATCACTATCTCCACCTCCTCTCTCTCCCATCACCCTTGTGCAGCATCCATCCCTGTCTCTCCAAGGCGTTACCATATATATACATATGTATAATTGTTTTTGTTGCTTACCTCAAAGATCCTATGCCAGTATCTGAAAGAGAAAGGAATATCTTCCAGCATCCTAGCTAGACGTTCTCCAAATAAAATTGAAATCATTCATTTCACAGCTATTCGTGGGACATCTGCTGTGCAAATTGGCTGCTGAGTTTGACGACTCAATGCACACAGTCACTACACTATACGGTACATCCTGGGCAGTGCTCTGAGGCTTATTATATCAAAAGCAAAGATCACTCTTATAATACACATCACTTTCCCTCCCCATGACATTGAATTAAAATGAACTTAATGATTTTTACAAACAGTTAGGAATTGTGAAGTCATCCACTATGCATCCAAATATAACAAAACAGAATATTTTCTAAATGGTGAGAAACTAAGAAATGCAGAGGAGCAAAGGAATTTGGGTATAAACGTACACAAATCACTAAACTCCAACTCACTGGAACAAAAAGTTATCAAAAAGGCTAATGGGATGTTGGCCTTTATCTCAAGAGCATGGAATGTAAAGTAGAGGAAATGATGCTTCAACTGTATAGAGCCTTGGTCAGACCCCATCTGGAGTACTTAGTTCAGTTTTGGGCACCGTACCTCAGGAAGGATATATTAGCGCTGGAGGGGGTGCAGCACAGATTCACCAGAATACTACTGGGTCTTAAGGGGTTAAATTATGAGGAGAGGTTGCATAAACTCAGTCTGTATTCCCTTGAGTTTAGAAGGTTGAGGGGTGATCTGATTGAGGTTTTTAAAATAATAAAGGGATTCGATAAGGTAGATACGGAGAAGCTATTTCCTCTGGTGGGGGAATCCAGAACAAGGGGGCATAATCTTAATATTAGAGCTGGGCCATTTAGGTGTGAAATCAGGAGGCAGTTTTTCACCCAAAGGGTAGTGAAAATCTGTAACTCTCCCCCCTAAAAGGCAGTTGATGCTGGATCCATTTACATTTTCAAGACTGAGGTGGATAGATATGTGTTAGTTCAGGGCATCAAGGGATATGGAGCAAGGGCGAGTAATTGTAGTTGAAGTACAGATCAGCCATGATCTTATAGAATGGCGGAACAGGCTCTGGGCCTGAATGGTCTACTCCTGTGTCTACGTTACTATTTAAGTTTGTCACTTGTCATTTATCCAACCACACTACCTTCAACAGTGTAGGTGATTCACTCTCTATCTTGGTGCCACAATTGGTTTACTAAAAACAGTGCTGGTATCAAATATACTTCTCGACGATCTTATGTTTTATGATCAGCAATTTGAAAAAGAAAATCCTCTCCTGCTAAGCATGACTTCCTTGTTGTGGTGGCCACTGGCTTTGTCTCTCACAGGCTATCAAATCATCTAATGTTGCAGCACAGATACAGGTTTTTCAACCCATCAAGTCTGTGTTGGAATGTTTTTGTGCATGAGCCTCCTCAACTAATCATACTCTCCTGGTCGCTCCCCAAATCCTATAATATTCCTCTTTCTAATTTATTTTAACAAATGTATCTAATTCTCTTTTAAATAAAATTAAGGACTCTACTTCAACAAACTAATGAGAGTGTTGCTATCCCTAGTGGTATAAATCTTATGTTCAGTTTATGTTAAACTCTTTCTTATGCAGTTACACATAGAGCATACGATAGTCCAGGGTGTAATCTTAGACTGCAGCGACCCGGGAAGCTAAGTGTTTCACTTGGGTTACAGATAAAATCAATGAGTGATTCCTAGATTGTCCTCAATACATGGCACAGATTAGCTGCTTTATTTACCTGCACATCCCAACATTCTTTCTATATACAAATTTTTTTCAAATTTATTTCCAAATCACCATCCCATTCTTTCACTGTGCTATGAATTTTCGGTCCTGTCTGCCTTGTGATTCAGGTGGATGTAAAGGGACTGTACTTCCATTGATATTTTTTCAAATAAATAACTTGCAATTTCTTCCTCAACTGAAATTCATCCAAATTCAAATGATTTGGTTCTGCAGCTTATTGTGGATTGTGGAACAATGCTGTGGATTAGTTTGCTGTGTTTGCTGACATAATAACATTCACTACATTTTCTAAAGTGCACTGAGATATTTATATTAATGTGAAAGGCGTTACTACATAAATCCAAGTTGTAGCTGTACTGATCTGGGTGAGATTGCTTATCTTATTTTGTGTTGGTTAGTAAACATCTGAATATCATCTCATAACAGCTGGGAAGATAATAAGGTACAATTGCCCACAACATTGTTAAATTGATCAGCAACTGGAAATTCACCTTTAGCTTTATCTCTGACACGGTAATGGGAAAGCTTACTGTACAATATAAAACTGATTCACAAGATTCAGAAGGTCTGAGGTTCAATCTCTGACCTCTACTTATTTAGATGATTGTTTTAGCTGATTGATCCAGTCCTTTGGATGAGCTATTAAATCAAGGTCTTGTCTGCCTATTCAAGTGGATGTTTAAGATCCCTTGGCACCACTTAAAAACAGAAGGGAGTTTCTCCCAGTGTGTTCGTCAATAATCTGGCAGATAAAATTGGCCATTCACTTTGTGGCTGTTTTGGGGTCATTATTATGTACAAAGTCACTGCCACATTTGTCTACAAACTAC